AAACCAGAGAGAGAGAGAGAAATCCAGAGAGAGAGAGAAAGAGAAAAATAAGCAAACCCCAGTCATAAAAAAAGAGAGAGAGAGAGATAAGCAAACCCCAGTCAGAGTCAGAGGCGAGAGATAAAGCAAACCCCAGTCAGAGAGATAAGCAAACCCCAGTCAGAGGCAAGTAGAGAGATAAGCAAACCCCAGTCAGAGGAGCAGAGAGATAAGCAAACCCCAGTCAGAGCAGAGAGAGATAAGCAAACCCCAGTCAGAGTGCGAGAGAGATAAGCAAACCCCAGTCAGAGTGCGAGAGAGATAAGCAAACCCCAGTCAGAGTGCGAGAGAGATAAGCAAACCCCAGTCAGAGTGCGAGAGAGATAAGCAAACCCCAGTCAGAGTGCGAGAGAGATAAGCAAACCCCAGTCAGAGTGCGAGAGAGACAAGCAAACCCCAGTCAGAGTGCGAGAGAGATAAGCAAAACCCCAGTCAGAGGCGTCAGAGAGATACAAACCCCAGTCAGAGAGATATACAAACCCCAGTCAGAATGCGAGAGAGATAAGCAAACCCCAGTCAGAATGCGAGAGAGATAATCAAAGCTCAGTCATAGCGTGAGAGAGATAAGCAAACCCCAGTCAGAGTGCGAGAGAGATAAGCAAACCCCAGTCAGAGTGCGAGAGAGATAAGCAAACCCCAGTCATAGTGCGAGAGAGATAAGCAAAGCTCAGTCATAGCGTGAGAGAGATAAGCAAAGCTCAGACAGTGTGCGAGAGAAATAAGCTACCTGAATACATGCACTTGAATTGCATGTGCTCTTAATTTACCTCTATACTTCTAACATCTCCACCTAAACAACTGAAATTTCATTTACTAATTTTTTTTTTTTTAATTGTAGTAAGCAAATTTGCTTATCACATGGTTCACACCTTTCATCCATATTTTGAACATGTGTAAGGGTTTATCCCTTGTTTCCTGTTTAGGATTGAGCTTCCTGTTCTTTTACTTAAAGTACCCTCATTCTTTTTCACTTCCAGTAACCCCTTGCATCTTAGTGACATTATTGCCTTGCTTGGGATGAAATGATTAAAAAAAAAAAAAAAAAAAAAAAAAAAAAAAAAGGAAAAAAATAGTTGAAAACAAAATTTTAATAAATTTTTTCTTTGCGTACATGCTGGAATATTTGATGCCCAATATTTGCCTAACTCAAACATCAACTATCTCGGCCTCTAGACAGTTTTTTTACCCTTGCAAAATACACATCTATCACAACAACTGCAGTCAAGAGTATAGAGTCATTGTAAGCTTCATTATCCCCTTTGACAGAGTATGTGCTTTGCCAGGGCTATATACAGTTTGGAATTCAGAATCTCTAACCTTGTCTGGTAGCTAAACATGACAAGAATGACACCTCTCCCATAAATATAGTGATTTTCCAAGTGTAGCTTAGATGTGGCACAAGGCTGAAAATATGGTGCACTCAGTGAGCCCCCCCCCCATGGCCACTCGTTTTCTACTAGAATGTCTCCCTATTGGAGATGCTTGTTCAGGAACATGTGTTTATTCAACACCAACAGGGCCCACCTGTAGTCTATACTGCAACTATGCTTAGTTACAATTTTTGGGAAAGAGCATGTTATCTATCCTGATCAACAATTTGAACAAGGCCAGCACACTCAAGCAACTTGTAACTTCATGTTAGCACATATATCGTCAGCCCTCAATGGTTCTTTCTACCCAATTGCACTCACAAGGCTTGGATCAACCTGTGGCATGGTTTTCAGGCACTTTCCAAAAAGTACTGCACATTGGGATCGACTCCTCCAGTCCGATAACATCAGGAAGTCTCCTTCCTGACAATTCAAACATGATGAGATTCAAACCTAGGTCTCAGGGTCACAATGTGAATATTCTAACCACCCGGCCATATAAGAAAAATCTATAAAAATTTTATGGTTTTCCTACTTAAATTTTTTCTGATCTATGACAAAATATCCATACAAATTCTTCTATCACATCACTAAGTACTTGTTCTCAACAACTTTAGCATTTATATATAATTGTTATTGCAATATTTTGTTAGATTAAATAAAAGGCTCAATTAAAACTTCCCGAAAAGTCAACCAGATCACCTGATGAAGGCTAGAAGGTGAAATGACTGAAACATCATGATTTCTAATGTCTCCAACTGAACTCTGAAATTTTATTTACTAATTATTTATTTGCTTGTTTATTTTTTCCTCCTCAATAGGAGTAGATAGATTTGCCTATTGCCTGGTTCACACTCCTTGGTCTTTTCAAGAGTAGCAGAGGTTTATCCCTTGTTCCCTGTTTGGGGTTGGGTTTCCGGTTCCTTTTAAACTGTTTTCATTCTCTTTCACTCCCAGTAGGTCTTTGTGTCTTAGCAGCAGTATAGCCTTGCTTGAGGTGAATTGATTAAAAAAAAGAAAAAAGACAAGGACATTAATCTGCATGTAAATAGTCAAATGATCAGTTCACCTTGTGGATATAAAATTCTTTTGATCAATTGTTGAGATTGCATCACAGAAATAGGATGTAATAAATGAAGAATATTTCAATAGAATCAGTCAGTTATGTGCCATATGTGATACATGCTTAGGCAATCATGTATCTTTCAATACATAACTGACAAGGCAGATTTTTTCCAATAGTAGGTTGCCATTTCTTTCTGCAGTAGACCTGATGCCATCCAAGGCTATAGAACCCAGTCTGTCCTGCTATTTACCCATAGCTGGTGGGAGAAGAAGAGGATTCATACCTTTCCCAAGGTTATCAGCATGTAAGTGAATGTAATGGATTTGACTGGAATTTGAACTTGGCTCTCCAATTCCTTAATCCAAGCCGCTATCCCTTACTCCACCGTTAAAGAGAATACGAACTCTAAAAGGAACAGTTCTTAACAGAAAACTGAAGTTGAAATAAGGAGAAAAGAAGGGTTCGAAAAGTTAACACTAACAGGAGTGCATCAAATGCAAAGGTTGTAAAGAAGCAGATCATGTTGAAAGCAGCAAAGGAAAAGGAGCCATGATTGCATTAATCTTGAAGGGACATGCTACATAAAGAGATTATGAAAATGTGACAAAAACAACAATGGGACAAATTCATTTGCAGGTTTTATTTTAAGTATGCTAGAGTAAAATTAGAGCAGCTTGTCAAGTCAGATTTTCACAGATAAGAACCTTTTTTGATGGATGCTGATAGGAAATGCAATTTTTTTTTTCTCTTTTTGCTCAGAAATCTAGATTATAAAAGAAGAGTTAAGTCTGTCTGCATGTGACTTTGCAGGCATTTGTGCTATTTAATGTGCCCATACACACACATAAAAACACCATTTGACCAAGTTGAACAGAAAACACTGGAATAATGCAATACCACTCCCACTCAGTCTGGACAACACTTTCCCCTAAGCTGAACAATAAAATTAATGCTGTAGACAAAAACGAAAAAAAAAAAAAAATTAACTCTAGAAGAAAAAACAAAAAACAAAAAAAAAAAACAATTATAAAATCTTATTAAAGATTTTGGAAATTATTTAATAAATAGAATTTAAATTTTTTTTTGTTTTATCTTGGACGAATATTTTTAAGTCTGTCATTGAATTAAAATACACATATGTACAGAGTTTTAACAAAAATTGAAATGAACACCAGCATCACAAATGCTAATTTCTTCTCTTTCTGTATTCCAACTGAATATATTTTTAATGAATGTAGTATTCTACCCTTAAGCACTCTGGATTATTAATATTACTTCTCTTTCTACTGCATTCTTTTTGAATGTCTCTCAATTGTAATAACCCGATTGTTAATTTCACTCAAATGTGTTTTCTGTTGCCATAGCAGGATATGACAACATAACTATGCAATTCAAACAAATTCAATGATCAGTCACCTTAAATTGCAGGATAAACTTTCTGCGCAGCAAATGAAGTTACATACAGTGTGATAAAGGTTAAATGGACAGGCAATTTAGATTTGAAATTTTATCATATTGCTGCCATATTGACAAATGCTGAACTAGCATTTATTAATAATAAAAAAAACTTTACCTTATAGGAGAGCTTTCAATCTTCACTGTTTCTGATTTCCCAGAATTGTAGGTGACAACAATGGCTTCAATGTGACTTGTGTCCAAAATGCCCTGAAAAGAACAAAACAGTGAATTTTTTTGAGAAGAGAAGAGAGAGAAAAAGAAGAGAGAGGAGAAGAGAGAAAAAAAGAGAAGAGAGAAAAAAAGAGAAGAGAGAAAAAAAGAGAAGAGAGAAAAAAAGAGAAGAGAGAAAAAAAAACGAAAAAAGTAAACAATGAAAAAAATAAGCAATGAAAAACAAAATAACTGAGTAAATTCTTTAAATACTCATTTTCAGTCAAATATTGAAGAAAAAAAATCATAAAATTGTTTCACTCAAAATCTTTGCAGTCTATCTTGCCATTTCCAAATCCAGATAAAACAAGAAAGTTTGACATGGTGCAAAAAATACATCCTTAAAACCTGGTTCACAACACTACAGCAGCATCACCCAGGCAAGAATCCCTGTAATTCACAGAGCAAGGAAAGAACAGTCCAGAAGAATGCTCATTAGAAGTTGGCTAATTTCATGACACATCAATTCTTGTTGAGTTATTTAATGTATTTATACCAGAGTTAGAAACTGTACTGTACTGTTGCGGCATTCACCCTGGGCGGATTGAGCCGGCTTCTTCCTGTTATGAGAAGAAGATTCTTGGGATAAATTACAGAAGTAGGGTAACCCAGGCCTACTCGGATAACGTTCTTGCTTGCCGCTGGGTTCCTACAGATGCAGAGACAGGAACCACCAGAAGCCGCCGGGTTACCGATGCAGACGCCCTTGATTTTCACCAGAGCCCTTGTTAATGGGGCGGTGTGTCAGACCTGTCCCTTTGGTGGCCCTACCAGGAACGAAGTTCGGGAGGCATAGCTCTGATACTACCGCTTACATCCCCAAGAACCGACTGTGAGGTAAGGGTTGACTTTGGGGGCTTACAGCACCAGGTGTTCCCGCGGTCCCCCATCTAAGTACTGACCTGGCTCACGCTGCTTAACTTCGGTGATCAGACGAGAACGGGGTGTCTCAGCGTGATTTGACCGTAAGCCTAGAGTTAGAAAGGTTGACAGAGGACCCAGTAGAAATATTCTAAACTCTTTCAGCTGGGGAGTGACAAACATTGGTGAGGGCTAAAGGAAAGCTAATCACTAAATTACCTATAGTAACCTAAAACTCCTCTAGAGTATGATTTTATAAGCACACAGAAGTTGTGATAATTTTTACAATTTTGCCAAAATTAGCAGGCAAATTATTTCTTTACTTTTCTCTGTAGAAATTTAAATTTAGAAAATAGAAAAGATAAACATGCTGCCTTGAGGGTGATTAATTATTTTCCACCCTACAACCCCACCCCCAGATGAAACACCACAAGCCTCTTGTGACTTTATGGTTATTTTCATGGCATGTGTTCAGACAAGCTAGATTCCTTAGTTCTGAACATGACAGCTTAGACCCAGCATGCAACAGACGAAGGGTCGACTCATCTCTTCAGATTCCATTGGGAAAGAAGAAGTTCAGATTCCAAATCAGATTTGTTACATTGACTTACACACAAATGCCCTTGGGGGAAGGTAGGAATCCATCTCCCTCCTGGAGGTATGGGTGAAATTAAACATTGAGTGTGATATATATATATATATATATATAAGAAAACATTGAAGTCAACACTTTAATAGGTTGTTTCATGCTAGACACAATCGTCAGGCAGGTGTCTGACGATTGCATCTAGCATGAAACAGCCTGTTGCCTCTGAGTGTTGACTTCACTCTTTACTTTTATATTTACATATGCTCTATCTCTGATATTGAGCACTTTATCCCATAAATATAGCACACCTTAAAACTACGTTTATTTATATATATATATATATATACACACATATATATATATATATATATACACATATATATATATATATATATATATATATATATATACACACACACACATATATACATATATAAGAGAGAGATAAATAATTAAATAAAAATTTGCAATTTCTGAAAGGGTTTGAGAATGAAGTCATCATGAATTTGTTCCCAAATATTGAAAGTGTCTTGACAACCAAAGGGACCATATTTAGAAGTGGTAAAAATGACGATATTTGGTGACTGATTTGATAATCTATCAATAAGATGATTGAGGACTGGAAATCAAGTCAGAAGGAATTAAGACATTTCAAACAAGCCAACTTAATAAAGAAATACCAAAATTAAAATCCTAACTAGAAGAATTCACAGGGACAATGTTGGTCTTAAAATCTAATATAATGAGATTCACTTGGGAACTGAAACAGTTGAAAGCCACAAGCCAAAGGGTTTTTGCTCAGTTATTGAGTTCCTGTTATTTCAATTCCATCTTTGGTTTAAAAAAAAAAAAAAAAATTTTGTAACATTGCTCAGCTACTGTAGTCTCTGCCCAGTCTTTCCTGCTATTTAACCAATAGCTAAGATGGATTCATATTTGTTTGAAAGTCAATACAACAAATTTGATTTGAATTTGAACTCTGCACACAAATTTCTTGGTCAAAGGCATGAACCATTTTACTCTCCCTGCACATGAATTATATAAATATGTGACCTGAAAATTGAGTTTAAGCATAAAACAGACTGTTGTCACTGAGTGTTGACCTCAATGTCTACTTTTATATTTACATATGTTCTATAACTGACAACCAGGCACTGATAGCTCGGGGGTAGAATCTCCGACTGATGCCAAATCAGTTGGGTTTCGATACTGGCTTGAGGTAATTGGATGTCTAGCCACACTGACAATAATACAGTGAAACAGTCTGTCTGTGGGTGACATTATATATAATAAATAAAACAATAAAAATAAAGACAAATAAATAATAATTACATTAAAAAATAAATATACAAACAAGAAAATAAAAATTCAACAATAACATACACCGACTTGCATTTACTAGACATCAAATTGCATCACTTAGCATCTTCCATAGTTGACCTTTACTTACACAGTTAACTTTAGGAATAATTTACTTCTGTTTATAAATACATGTTGCAAAATGAAATACTTATATTTACCTTGATGAATACCCCGAGGGGACAAAACACACTGGTAAAGAAAAGTTATAAAATGTACAGTTATGTAAATTGTAGATGTAGATCAGGGATTCAGGATAGAGATTGAATCTAACCTGAAAAGAGTGGAATACCTGGAGGTCAAGTTGGACCTAGGAACAGGTTTAATCAGGTTGAACAGGAAGCAAAACAGCCAACTATGCTATGTCAACAAAAGATCTAGCCACCTCAGAAATGTGACCCAACAAATTCTGACAGGGAGAGAGTATAGTTTGTCAATGAATTCATTTGAGATTGAAATCTTTGAGGAGATTAAAAATGTGTATGAAACAGAATTAAGAAAAAAAGGATATGAGGCAACTCTTGTACTTAAGGAGGGGGGAAAAACATGAATAGAAAAGGAAGATAATCTGTTTTTTACTGCCATTTAATATAGCGGAAAAAATCAGGATTGGAAAACCATTTTTCAAACAGCTGAAGAATTGCTTCCCTAAGTAATTGAAATTGTTGAGGGTTTTTCTTTTTTGTTTTTTACAAGGCTTGAAGAAATTAAAATTGTAGTGATTGGGAAAGTATCCATGTGAGAGTCTGTTCTACAAAGTAGACAGGCAGATAGGTCTCATAATTTAAAAGTTGAAATTGTTAGATTGAACTTCCTCTTTACCAATAATACAAAGGGAATGAGGATAATTTGACCCTGTGCATATGACGTTGTGTCGTAGCTGTGAAGGTCTGAACTGGTGAAACTAAGGAATGTTGCTCATCAGAATATTTGCCATGGAAATAGTGATAAAGTGGTAAAAGGCTTACAAAATTTCATCTGTCGGAAAGATATTAAAGGGTATCACCAAAGAGGCACTCTAGAGACTTGTTAATATTGTCAAAACTGAAAGGTGAGGATTGATTATCTCCAACCCAGACATGGCAGCAGTACTCCCAATTTTGATTTGGTTTGGTTTTGTTTTACAGCATTTCAACCTCAATGGGTTATTTAAGATAAGATTTTTATTGCTGGTAATAATTTTTCTTCAAAATTTATTGCTGGTAATAATTTTTTACAAAGTATTTCTGGTATTAAAACCTATTTTTACACTTTCATAGTGTTTTGACCCCAGTTTGGGGGTTAACTATTTGCCCATAGATGAGACCCTCACAGGTGATACTACCCCAGGTCAGGACGGACCTAGGAATAACAGCAATTAAGAGGTAGTTCCACGTTCCTCAAAACCTCCTGATCAGAGGCCTTGCTGTTGGACATAGTTTATCGTCTTACCCAGGATGCAGATGTAGTTTATTGTCATATCAAGGATAGTTCAATTTTGGCCTGATCTGCACCATCTCCTGCTATGCTCTGTCTTGTGAAGATAGAGCATTGTAGGAGGAATCAGATACTTTCTAGAGAAGTACAATTTTTCCACTCTCTTCAGTGACAGATCATATATACAAGTGAGGGCTAGAGGGAACTGGAGTCCCAACAAATAGTGAAAGCAAAATGCCTCATCCATTATGAAAGAAGATTCAAGATTTGCTCAAGAGATGATGAAATGTAAATCACATGATTTTTGAAGTATTGAATGTTACAAGCTGTGGTGACATCCTACTGTTTCACACAAACTGATTCTTAAAATTATAAATGCTTAGCAAACCGGTTGTTGGATTATCCAAAAATAATCTTATATATTAATAGCCAATGGTCTAGGTAAAACGTTAGTTATGCTACCATTATGCATGTGCTCAATGAAATTCTAATAGACACTCCCTAACGCAGCAATAAACAGCAGTCCACAGGAAAGAAAACAAAGGAAAAGTAGAAGACATAGATAATGGTGACTGTGTAGAAAAATAGGCAAAAGTGAGAGATATTTGGGACTGCAGCAATTCAGTTTGAATGTAGCTAAGAAACCATAATACAGCTGATGATACTAGAGTCAAAAATCATCATACTTCTGAACAGAAATATGATGAGAACAGAATTTCAATCTGGAAATATCTTAATAAATAAATATTTTCTATTATCAAAATGGTTTAATTTTTTTTTATACTGTTGTATCCTTAAAGAAGGTTACAAACAGACAAAATTAGTATTTGAGTGAAAGGAACAGTAACATGGGCATAGAAGAAAGAGAGTTTTATTGCAAAAAAGAATACACTACTGAAAGACAGGGAATCAGTTAGCAAGCTAGTAATTCCTGAAGCAAGTCTGCAAGGTATATTCTGTACTTACTATATATATCTAATGATATAGTCAAGTCCACATAGACAATAGGGAGTGTGGGACATTTCATTACAACAGATATTATAAAGGTGATTTTTTCCCATTCTAAGATTGAAAAGAAAATAAGCAGAATAGGTTCCTAAAGATTACCTGCCATTAAAGAACTGATTCCTGGAAATTTGGGATGCCATAGATGACAAGCCACTTTTCCCCACTATTGAACTTTGTCAGAAGAAAGCCCTACATATACAGTCATTATTTTCATTCACAACACAAGTTTTTTTTTAGTTTTTGTTTCTTTTCAGCTTCTTTGCATTTTGCTATTTGTGCCTAACTGTTTTTCAAACCCTTTTGAATAAGGAAACTCATAGCAGACAAACACTACTATTTAAGATTGTAGTATCAATATCACAACCATGACATTCTTCATCTGTATCAGTGTCAGTGGAATGGGAAGTTATTTACATTTTACTTACATCCAAACCAGTATCCTCACCTTTGTTGTTATCACGTTTTTGAGCTGTACCATTAAATTTTCTGTTGATCCTGGAAGCCTTCAAAGAATTTTGAACTGAACCCTTTAATATAATCGACAGTTGGTAGATTGTTTAAAAATATCTTGTACTGCTCAGTTATTGCCTGTGCTGTTTCCACTGGGTCTAAGTCGGTACTACCCGACCCAGGGATTGAACTCAATTACTATGTCACCAATGAATCAATGCTTTAACCCATTAAACCTACAATTTGGAGCTGATCTATTCTGCTTATTGCTGCTGCTACAATTGAC